AAGTGGATGCCACAAATGCAAAAGTGGATGCTGCAGTTATTAAAATTGATGTAAATACAGAAAGCATAAATAGTTTGGGACAAAAGGTGAATACTAACACAGAAACCATTGAGAAACTGATACAGGAATCTAATTCGACACGACAGACCGTAGAGGAAGCCAAGGAAAAAGTTGCTGCTGTGGAATTTAAGGTAACACAATTGGAAACAGAGAGAGTTCCAGATCTACAGAGGCAACTTCAGGACCATAAGCTGACGCTTTCTATGATTGAGCTTAAGGAGAAAAAGACAAATTTGAGGATCAGAGCTGTACCTGAACTGGAGAAGGACAGTTTGATAGACTTTCTCACACAGGAACTTGCAGAATTTTGGGAGCTGGATTTGGAACAAGAGGAATTTAAAATTGTGAGGGCCTTTAGATTGGGAAGAGGAGGGAAGAAAGAGAAGAACAGAATAAGAGACTGTTTGATTACCCTCAGATCTAAAGAAGAGAGAGACAGAATTTTGGGTTGGCATTACCAGAAGACTTTGGTAATACAACAGTCAAGAGTGGAAATATTTAAAGATATCCCGAAACATCTTTTGGACCTTAGGTCCAATTACGGAGATTTGGTTGTCCTGCTGAGAAGGAACAAAATCATCTTCAGGTGGGAATTTCCCCAAGGCCTATCCTTCAGTTTCAAAGGAAGGAAAATAAAAATAAGATCAGTAGAAGATAAAGCAAAGTTTTTGAATAACTACGAGGAAGATCTGCAGAAGGAACTTGGAAAAGAGTCAAGAGCATCGGACAGAAGATCACCAGACAGAGGATTAGAGCAAAGAGCATTGGACAGAAGATCACCAAAAGAGGAATAGTGGACATTGCAACATTACCTTTTGGACTGGACCGCCTAGTGACACCGACACTACCAACAGAAGAAGAGCAGGCATTGGGTGCAGTTGGAGGAAAATCAGAGTAATTACATCATGGCACTGCAAGTATTAAGCTGGAATGTTAATGGACTGAACTCCCCGGAAAAAGGCGGAGAGTCTTTCATTTATTGAAAAAGAACAATTGGACTTGATTTGTTTGCAATAAACACATGTGACAAGGCTACACAGGAAGATATTGAGTAATAAAAGATTGGGCCAAGAATTTATTTCATCAGATAAAGTCAAAAAAAGAGGAGTAGTCCTTTATGTAAAGGAGAGCCTATCACCGAAATTTATATTTAAAGATGACCAAGGAAGATTTGTTGCAATTGAAATTCAATCACAAGGAGAGAAATTTTTGATAGTAGGCATTTATGCACCAAATGAGGGAAAATCGGAATTTTACAAGAAGTTACATGAGACTCTGATGGACTATATGGATTACAATATGATTTTGATGGGGGACATGAATGGAGTGGTGTCTACAAATATGGACAAGGCACTGAGACAGGTAGTCACCAAGGATGGTAGACTACCAAAAACTTTTTTTGATATGACTGACAATATGGATTTAGTTGACATCTGGAGAATGAAGAACCCTTTGGGAAGAGAGGGAACTTTCTTCTCTGAGGCCAAAATGACATGGACAAGAATTGACCAAATTTGGGTAACTAGAGGGTTGGCTCCGAAGATTAGAAAAGTGGAAATTTGCCCTAAAACTTACTCCGATCATAATGCTGTGAAGATGGAAATGAAACTAACACCAACTGGTTCCTTTAGATGGAGGATGAATGACACTTTGTTTAGGAACGAAGAAGTGACTAAGAAGGCCCAAAAAACCTTGAGAGATTATTTTGAGATAAATATGAACACCACTATTGAATATAGAGTAATCTGGGACGCAAGTAAAGCGGTTATGAGAGGATTTCTGATACAACAGAATGCAATTAAGAAGAGAGTTCAAAATGAGAAAAAAGACAAGATTTTGGAGAAAATAAAGGAAGGAGAGAAGAAATTGAGAGTGAAACCAAAGTCGCAGGAGATCCTGAAAGAGATAAAGTTATATCAAGTACAATATATGAAAATGATGAACCAGGAAATAGAATGGAAAATTAAACAGATGAGACAAAAGACATTTGAATCGGCAAATAAATGTGGGAAACTGCTGGCTTGGCAAATGAAAAAAGACAAAAACTTAATGACATTAAAAATTAGGAAGTGGAAGGAAAGAATATACAGAATCCAGTGGAGATCAGAAAGTGCTTCCAGAGGTACTTTAAACAATTATATACACAGGAGACGCAGAAAGAAATGGACATTGACCGATTTTTGAAAACAAATGGACTACAAAAAAATCTCTCAAGAAAACAAACTAATGTTGAACTACAAAATAACGGAGCAGGAGGTAGAAGGGGCCATCCAGAACATGCAATTAGGCAAATCTCCAGGACCGGATGGTTTGACCTCAAGATATTATAGATCCCTGAAAGAATGGTTAGTACAGCCATTAAAAGAAGTTTGTAATGAAATATTGGAAGGAAAAGGGCACCAGAGTCGTGGAAGGAAGCATATATTACACTTATACCGAAAACAGAATCTGAGAAGACACAGCTTAAGAACTACCGCCCCATATCTTTGCTTAATGTGGATTATAAAATTTTTGCAGACATTTTGGCTAAAAGATTAAAAAGGTACTAGTAGAAGAAATTCATAAAGATCAAGCGGGCTTTCTCCCGGGCAGACACTTGTCTGACAATACGAGGAACATAATTAATATTCTAGAAAAACTACAAGTGAATATTAATACTAAAGCAGTTTTGATATTTGTGGACGCGGAGAAAGCCTTTGACAATATTTCCTGGAGTTTTATGAATAAGAATTTACAGGGGATGGAGGTTGGTCAAGGTTTTGGAAATGGATTAGGTGCAATTTACTCAGAACAAAAGGCTAAATTAATTGTGAATAATGTAGTGACGGAAGAATTTAAGATAAAGAAAGGAACACGACAAGGCTGCCCAATCTCTCCATTGCTTTTTATATCGGCCCTGGAGGTTCTCTTAAATATGATTAGAAGGGACCAAATGGTTAAAGGTATACAAGTCGGAGCTAAACAGTACAAATTGAAAGCATTTGCCGATGATTTGGTATTGACATTACAGGAGCCAGAATTTAGAACCAAAAGAGTACTGGAACTGATTCAAGAATTTGGTCAGGTAGCGGGTTTTAAGTTGAACGAGATGAAAACTAAGGTTTTAGAGAAAAATCTAACAGTGACTGAGAGAGAGAGGTTTCAGAAGGAGACAGGATTAACATTGGTTAAGAAAGTGAAATACCTAGGGGTCAATATGACTGCCAAGAATGTGAATTTATTTAAGGATAACTATGAAAAATGTTGGATGGAAGTGAAAAAGGACTTAGAAATATGGTCAAATCTGAAGTTATCATTGCTAGGCCGAATTGCTGTGATAAAAATGAATGTATTGCCAAGGATGCTGTTTTTGTTTCAAACATTGCAAATTTTGGATAAAATGGATTGTTTCAAGAAGTGGCAGAGAGATATTTCTAGATTTGTCTGGCAGGGCAAGAAGCCTCGAATAAAATTTAAGATATTAACCGATGCTAAAGAAAGAGGTGGATTTGCCCTGCCAGACTTTAAACTTTATTATGAATCAGCCGCGTTTTGCTGGCTGAGAGAATGGCTGCTTCTTGAAAATACTGACGTGCTGGACCTAGAAGGTTTTAACAATGTATTTGGGTGGCATGCATATTTGTGGTATCATAAGGTTAAAGCACATAAAGCATTTAAAAACCATATTGTCAGAAAAGCACTGTTTAATGTCTGGATAAGATATAAGGACTTGCTTGAAAATAAAACCCCAAGGTGGTTGTCACCAATGGAAGCGAAGGCTCAGAAAAAGCTCAATATGGAGGCCAATTGGCCGAAATATTGGGAAATTTTGGAACAAGAGGGAGACAGATTAAAATTGCAGAGTTTTGAAAAACTAAAAAATAGAGTGCGAGACTGGCTCCATTATTACCAAATAATGGAGGCGTATAATTTGGATAAAAAAATTGGCTTCCAGGTGGAAAAATCAAAATTGGAAACAGAACTGTTAGATCCCAAAACTAAGAACTTGTCAAGAATGTATAACTTGCTGTAGAAATGGAATACTCAGGATGAAACGGTGAAATCAACTATGATTAAATGGGCACAAGATGTAGGACATAATATTATGATGGCTGACTGGGAACAGTTATGGACCACAGGTATGAAGTTTACGGCATGTAACGCCTTAAGAGAGAATATAATGAAAATGATTTACAGGTGGTACATGACACCAGTCAAGCTTGCAAAAATATATCACTTGCCCGATAATAAATGTTGGAAATGTAAAGAGACTGAAGGTACATTTTTTCACCTTTGGTGGACGTGCCCAAGGATTAAGACATTCTGGGAGATGATTTATAATGAAATGAAAAAGGTATTTAAATATACCTTCCTGAAGAAACCAGAGGCCTTTCTCCTGGGCATGGTCGGCCAATTGGTGCCAAAGAAGGATAGAACTTTTTTTATGTATGCAACAACAGCAGCAAGAATACTCATCGTGAAGTATTGGAAGACACAAGATTTACCCACCCTGGAAGAATGGCAGATGAAGGTGATGGACTACATGGAACTGGCGGAAATGACTGGCAGAATCCGAGACCAGGGAGAAGAGTCGGTGGAAGAAGATTGGAAGAAATTTAAAGTTTATTTACAGAAACACTGTAAAATTAAGGAATGTTAGAAGGATGTTGGAATGAAGTAATGTGGTTTTAGCAGAAATGCTGTAAAGGATTAAGAAAAACAGATTGTTAAATGGTGAAAGGAGGGAAAGTAAAGTTACATTATACTAAGATAAAATATAGGACAAAAACTGGAAAAGATGGAAAGGACTTCCTGAAATAGCTAACTGAACTAGAATACAAAAAAGGGAGGTGTGAGGAGGTCAAGGAAACAAGCAAATGAAAGATAAGTTATGGGAAGGTTCATTGTATTTTTTTCTTCTTTTTTCTTTAACTGTTTTTATCTTTTTAGTCTTCTTTTTTGTGATGCTTTGTTTTTGCTTAATATGTTGTTTTCTATTTTTTCTTTCTGTAACCTCTTAAATCTTAATAAATATATATATTTTTTTAAAAAAATAGATGTTAATCAGCCAAAGGCCTCGTTAAACAGATATGTTTTTGCCTGGCACCTAAAGCTATATGATGGTTTTTTCCAAACTTTGTATGAATTCTTTGATGGGAAGTGAGTTGGGAGCCCTGACTGAAGCTCTTTCCACATTCCATACACTGATAAGGTTTCTCCACTGTATGAACTCTCTGATGGGAAGTGAGATCGGTACTCCTACTGAAGCTCTTTCCACATTCCACACACTGATAGGGTTTCTCCACTGTATGAATTCTCTGATGGGAAGAGAGATCGGTACTCCTACTGAAGCTCTTTCCACATTCCACACACTGATAGGGTTTCTCCCCTGTATGAATTCTTTGATGGGAAGTGAGATGGCCACTCTGACTAAAGCTCTTTCCACATTCTCCGCACTGATAGGGTTTCTCCCCTGTATGAATTCTGTGATGGGAAGTGAGAGAGGAGCTATGAGTGAAACTCTTTCCACATTCCATGCACTGATAGTGTTTCTTTCCAATGAGAGTTTGCTGATGGGAAGTGGAATGGGAGCTCTGACTGCAGCTCTCTCCATTCTCCAAATTTTTACATGGCTTCTCCTCCCTGGGGATTTTATCATGGTCACCTTTGTTCTTGATTTCCAATTCATTACAATCTGCAATGGAGACAAAAAGGGATTAGAGCCTCAGGAACAAATGGAGACGAACTGAAGGGAGTTGGGTCTATGATCATTATCTTTGTTGTTTGTCATTTACCAATATATTTATTATTAGATTTTTATGGATTATTGAATGTTGCTTTGTTTGATATACAGTACTGGCCCAAATTGTGGAAGCCTTTTGGAAAAAAGTGTATTTCAGAGGTTTGTTGGCTCAAAAAACCACTTATTTTGGAGTTATTTCATAAAATTGTATATCAATGGAAAGATAATTTAATCAAGAACGTAATGCAACAAAATTTGTTCACTTCGCTGTATTCTATGAAAGGTTTTAGCCAAATAATAATTTTCATTGGTTTTTGCAGTTATTTTAAACATAACATTCAACTTATATATAATATAGAAAGCATTTGGCTACAACAGCCTGAAATTTTCCTCTTCCTCAACTAATGGTTTTCCCACTTATTATCCTATATTTCATTTTGGGATTATAATTATTACCTTTAAATCCTAATCATAAACCAACGATTTGTAAATTATACTTTGCAATAATTGATAAAATCCACCTTACAAAACTTCTTGTAACTCTACTCGTGAAGTTAGTTATTGTAATGGCTTGGGTCTCCCCCAGAGAAGTGAGACAACTCCGGCAGAAATTATTTCATATTTATTGCTCAAACTCATTAATCACTGCGGAGCTCAATCTTCGGCTTCTTCCCCCAAGTTTGATGTTGAGTCTGAGCTCCGCCCCTTCCTTCAACGACAAGCCCCCACGGTCTCTTCCGCTCTTTTTCACACCTCTCATGAACTTTCATAGCTCGACGAGATTTGGCAGAGATCATTTCCTTTCACTCTGTGTCTGTTTCACTCTCAGTGCTCTGCAACTTTCTTCTCTCTGCGTTCTGTCCCCCTCTGTGTGTACAAAGGTTGAATTCCTGGGGCTAATTGCTTCCTCCCCTTCTCAGGAATTCTCACTGTTTTTCCACTGTTCCAGTCTCTGTCTTGCCTGTCAAAGAATCCTGTTCTCTGACATCACCCCCTCCTCTAAGCCCCCTTCCTCCTCCTCTTCGGCCTTGCTGCCTGCCACAGAGGACTCTCTCGGTTCTGGTTCCCACCCTGTATCACTCTCCTCAGCTTCTTAGCTAAGATCATTTTCCTCCCTCCACCCTCTAGGCTTGGGCTTGTGGGGGGTACCTACAGTGGAACTGCCTCTGCAATTCTTGGGTGTGTAAATCCTGGCTCTGTACCCGAGAGTTTTCCTGAGGTCCATAACCTTTCCATGACACTAAATACTGCAACTTTCTTCTACACAGCCTTGACTTTATAATCTGTTGGATCACAAATTCCTCCTGGTCTTCTACCATAATGGTGGGAGGGGGTGCCTGCCTAGGTTCCTGGTAGTGGTGTGCAGGTACATACAGTGACAGGAGAGCCCTATGGAAAAGAGGATATATCTTCATCGAGGCTGGGAGTATAAGTTTGAACGACACTGGGTTTATCTGTTCTACCACTTCAAAGGGCCCCAACCGCCTTGCCTCCAACTTCCTGCACCTCCCTTTCATTGGCAAGTCCTTTGTTGACAACCACACCTTATCCCCCACTTTGATCTCCTCCCCTGTTGTCTACACCCGTCCACATCTTTTCTGTACGAGGCCTGAGCCCCGTCCAGTTTTTCCTTCAGTACTTCTTGTAAAGCCTGCATCTCCCCCACAAACTGCTCTGCAGCTGGCACTGACAAGGTGCTCCATGGATCTGGAAATGCTCTGGGATGTTTTCCATAGTTGGCTAAAAACAGTGTTTGTTGGGTCGACGCAAGCACCACATTGTTATATACACTTCTACTTCCAAAAGCTGCATCAGCTTCCTCCAAAATTGTGAGGTAAATTGTGTCCCTCTGTCCGAAATCACTCGGAATGGCAACCCGTGCAGCTTGAACACGTGGTCGACAAACATCTGCGCAGTTTCCTGTGCTGATGGCAGCTTTGGACATGGCACAAAGTGTGCCATTTTCATGAACAAGTCCACCACAACCCAGACCACTGTCTGTTTCCTGGAGGCTGGCAAGTCCGTGATAAAGTCCATCGTAATCACCTCCCATGGTCCTTATGGAGTCGGAAGTGGCTGCAGCAGTCCAGCCAGCACTGCCCGTGGCGTTTTTGCTCACTGGCAAGTGTCACATGCCTTAACATACTCCTTAGCCTCTTCTCTCATTCTGGGCCACAAAACCGTCTCCTTAGCTGATCTACGGTCTTGTACTATCCAAAGTGGCCCACTGTTGGGTTGTTGTGACACTGCCGCATGACTTGCGCCCGCAAGTTACCTTCTGGTATGTAGAGCGCCTCTCCCTTGAACAAGAGACCTTCCCTTTCAATGAATCCTTCAGTATTGTTCTGACCGCTCCGTATCGCTGTCAGTTTCTGCTGTGCAAATTCATCTCCTTCTAGTTGTTGCTTAAACTCATCTACTCCGACAACAGGCGCCACCACCAGTTGCAACTGTTTTGGCTTCAGAATGTGTTTCAACTCTTGTTTCTGTTCTCTCTCCATGTACTCAGGTTTCCCAGACAAGGCGTCTGCCCTCTGATTCTGATGCCCTGGCACATATTGTATGTGGAAGTTGAAATGAGCAAAAAACTGCGCCCATCGGATTTGTCTCTGGTTTAGTTGTGTCACGGTCTGCCAGTATTCTAAGTTCTTGTGGTCTGTGCGCACCTCCACTTGGTGTTGTGCTCCTTCTAGGAAGTGCCTCCATGTCCCTAAGGCTTCCTTTATAGCTAGCAGTTCTCTCTCCCAAATGGTGTAGTTCTGTTCCGAGGTGTTCAGCTTCCGAGAGTGGAACGCGCACGCCCTCAGGTTGCCATGGCTATCTTCCTGAAGCAGCACTGCTCCTACCGCCCTTTCAGAAGCATCCGACTCCAGCACCATCAGTTGATAATGATCTGCATGGTACAGATACTCCTCTGCTGCAAACATCTCATTGAGCTTCTTGAATGCACGCTGTGCCTCCTCCGTCCAGGCAAATGGCTTCTTATCTCTCAAACAGTCCATGAGGGGCGTGGTGAGTTGCGAGTAGTTGGGCACAAACTTCCGGTAATAGTTAGCGAAGCCCAAGTGCCTCTGCAAGTCCTTCTTTGTCTTGGGCTTCTGCCACTCTAACACCGTCTTCACCTTCGCAGGGTCCATTTACACCCCATCAGGAGACACTCGATACCCCCAAAACTCCACTGCTCTCCTGTGGAACTGGAATTTGTCCAACTTGGCGTAGAGCCTGTGTGCCCTCAGCCATCACAACACCTCCTTCACGTGTTGCACATGTGCTTTAAGGCTCTCCGAGAAAATTAAGAGGTCATTGAGGTACAATAAGACCCATTTGTCTAAGAGGTCTGCCTACACGTGATTGATGAAGGCCTGGAAGGTGGCCATACCTGATTGCAAACCAAACGGCATGACTAAATACTCGAAAGTCCCATATCTGGTATTGAATGCAGTCTTCCACTCATCGCCTTATCTCACCCATATCAAATTGTAGGCCCCCTCAAGTCCCCTCAACAATATATTGTTGAAGAGGTATAAGGAAACTCAGTCACTACAAAATCAGACTGGTAAAGGCAGGAAAAGGTGCACAACAGCAAGTGACGATCGAAAATGGAGAGACTATGCCTACGTGACAGAAGAAAATCATCTGGGTGTCTACAAGATGACATGGCACAATGTAATGTGAAGTTGAGTGCAAGGTCTGGTCTAAATGTTAGATTTCTAAGGGAAAAGCCACTGTTATCTCTCAAGCCAAGATTGAAAAGATTAAACTGGGCTAAAAGCCATGTTAACTGGACAGTGGAACAATGGGGCAGTGTTATTAGGAGCAATGAGACCAAAATCTCCTCGCTTGGTAGTGATGGCATGAAATATGCAAGGAGAAGAATCGGAGAAGATTTACATCCTACATGCATTACATTGACTTTGAAACACCCAGATAGTGTGATGATCTGGGGTTGTATGACAGCAAAAGGAGTGGGCAGAATTTGCGTCAATAATGGGAATGGAAATGCTTTAAAAACATAAATGAAATACTTGAGCCCAAACTGAAGTGTTCCACATATGATCTTTTCCCAGATAGTTAAGCGTTTATATATATTTCTATAAATAATTATTTATTTATTTTATACTTCAACAGGATTCAGCTCCATGTCATGTTGCTACTGTGTGCAAAAGGTGCTTTCAAGATAAAGATATTCCACTGCTTGAATGGCCTGGGAATAGCCCAGACCTTAACCCAAGTGAAAGTCTATGGAGCTGCCTAAAGAAACTTGTTAGTCAGAAGCAACCCAGCAATAAAGTCCAATTAACAGAGGCAATAATTTAATCTTGGTTTCACTTTATTACAGCTGCAGAACTAAAAAACTTGGTTCACTCCATGGGAAGGCATTGTAAGTCCGTTAAGTAAAGCTAAAGGTTACCAAACTAAGTATTATTTGACATAGTGAGAATTTTTGTATATCTCCTTTTTTCTATGTATTTCACTTTTCTTCTTTATGACTGCTGTTCTAATAAATAATCCTTTATAAATGTTATTGCATTACATTCTTCATTTTACTATCTTTCCATTGATGTATAACGTTATGGCATTATTCCCCAAAAAAGTGGTGTTATAAGCCATCAAACCTCTGAAATACACTTTTCCCAAAAGGTTTCTACAATTTTGGACACTAGTGTAAGTTGTTCATTTTAAAGTTAATGTACTTTTTATATCGGATCAGATTGTTATTATTAATGTTTCATATATATATGTGTGTGTGTGTTGGAAGATAGGCAGGATATAAATAAAAATTATTACTATTACTATTACTATTATTATTATTATTATTATTACTTCTACTACTACCTGAGATTCAATCAGCTTGGCTCTTCTCTGGGGCAGATGTTGTTTGGCCCACTCATGGCATCCCCTCCATCTCCAGTGTCAGTCATCTCTCTGGTCAACCCAAGACTGACAGCAGCAAAATCAAAAACAGAAAACCTGACAGAAGCTACTTATCTTTCCTAACAACTCTGAAGCTGACATTTAAGATGCCTGGGCAGTTCAGACCAGCCGAATCGTGGTATAAAAAGGCAGAACTGGAGGAAGATGGTTCTCAGAAAAGAACTGTAATTTACTGCTTCTAGTGGGGGGTGTAAGGTTCCCAGGTGTTGTAGGGGGCGCTTTTGAGCTCTGTGGAAATATATGAGGTTTGTCACCTAGAGGTATTTTTTGAATTTCCAGGCAGATAGGACGATCCCACAGGGAGCCTTACCAAGAGAGGCCACGATCCCACGATTCTCCTCCATGACGTCCTTATGCAGAGCTCTCTGGTCAGGATCCAGCAACGCCCACTCCTCGTCCGTGAAACGAACAGCGACATCTTCAAAGCACACTGGACCCTGAAAGAAAAAGGGAAATGTCCTCCTCTGAGACTGCAGAAATATGATCTGCTCTACAATGCTCTGTGGTTTCCTTCCTGTAAATTGCGGTGTTGTTTCAATAGGATTCCTTTGCTGCACATTTTAATTCTGGATGCCTATTTTGACATTTTAATTGAATTATTTCATTAATTATGGGTATTCGTCTTTGTGCAAATAGTTGGTACTCCACCTTGTGGTTTTCAAATCATTCTGCCTACGCAAGCATCCCAGTTTCCCCGATGGAAGGATCCACTTTCTCCTCTCCTCGTGAGTTGTTCTGGGGAGTTCCCTCCCAATGCCCTAGAGCCAAATTCAAGGGGTTCATGGGGGCATGGAGAGGGGGAGGAGTGGGGGGCAGGCCCCATTTTGCAACGGATGGGGCTAGTTAGGTGACTCCTGGCCACTATTTGTTATTGTCTGTCCACAGCATAGAAGCCTATTTCAGCACTCAGTGGTGAATATAGAAATACAAGAAGCCTAGTCTGGATGGCCATCTGTCTTGGGTGATCTAGCTGAGACTCCTGCAATGCAGGGGCTTGGACTTGATGACCTTTGGGGTCCCTTTCAACTCTAGGATTCCATGAAAACTGCAACTAAAGATGTATCGTACTGGCGACATTCAGAAGCCTCGTGTCACAGAGTTATCTGGGCAGGAAATCCCACAGTTCACAGCTGGAGTTAACTCTTTCTTAGCAAGAACACGATATTCACAGACTTGGCTGAGTTTCAGGTCTCATGAGAACAGCAGCTCATTCCCTGAGGGTCTGCCAATATGTATTGTCAATTAATGGACTAGTCTAGGTGGAAGTTTCTTTAGTGTGGAGGTATATGAAAAGTGAGATTATATAGTGCAAAGTTTGTTTAAGTGCTCTTGTAAAGAGGTGCTCTGTTGAGTATTTTGTTAGAGAGGTAATAATAATAATAATAATTTATTGTTTATACGCCGCCCATCTGGCTGGGTTTCCCCAGCCACTCTGTGCGGCTTCCAACAAAATATTAAAATACAATAGTGCGGCAAACATTAAAAGCGTCCCTAAACAGGGCTGCCTTCAGATGTCTTCTAAAAGTCTGGTAGTTGTTTATTTCATTGACAACTGGTGAGAGGGCGTTCCACAGGGTGGGTGCCACTACCAAGAAGGCCCTCTGCCTGGTTCCCTGCAACGTGACGTCTCGCAGCGAGGGAACCACAAGAAGATCCTTGGTGCTGGACCCAGTGTCTGGGTGGAATGATGGGGGTGGAGACCCTCCTTCAGGTATACTGGACCGAGGCCGTTTAGGTTTGCTATAAAGCAGGGGTGCCCAAACTTTTTTCAAAGAAGGCCAGATTTGATGTAGTAAACATGTGTGAGGGCTGACCAAAGTTGCTGACCTTTTTTTCGGATTGAAATTGTTGGGCTTTAGGTCCCCAAAATGGACATTGGACCTGCCTGCTATAAAGTGTGGCTTTCAGGCCTTGGTTTATATATTTGAGTGGAGTTTATATATTATAGATAAGATGATAAGATAAGTTAAAATAAAATAAGAAAAGATGAGATGATGATAAGATAAGATAAGGTTTATAAGATAGCTGTTTTGTGTAAATGTTTTTCTATAAGTGTTTTGCATATCAGTACTTCCTTCACAAAATAAATGGGGAGGTTGTCGGTTTGCATTTCTTAGTACAGAAAGTATTGATCTGATATGTAGAGCTCTTTCCTATTCTAATTAATTCAAGAGGGCTCTGGAAGAAACAAGCAGAAAGTTCCTGGTGTTTGGGTTATTCCTTTGGAGAAAGTGAGTACAGTTGGTTTAAATTGGTTCTGTTATCTCTTCTGTAAGGTCATGCTGACTATAATAAGAGGCCAGAAGGAGCCTGGGGTTCACTTTCTCTTTCTGTCTCGGTTCTTTCTAATGTTCTGTACACAGTATGCTTAGTGTTAAGGTTTAGACTTATTATAAGTTATGGTAAGAATTTATGTTAAGTCTGCTGCAACTGGATTTCTTATGGGCAGTGCCAATCCTGAATGTATTGGATTTGTGACCATTATGCTCATTAGTCTTCAGTAGCAGTAAAGCTCTGATGAATGAAATACAATTGCCTCTGGTCTATTTTTTGGGAATCCTCTAACATGTTTAAATTTTACTCTGCTAACTATATATTGGAGTTCTGCTCTGGATCAATATTGAGTAGAATTCCATGTCAGGGTCTTCCTCCATGAAATCAGTTGCCGAGAGGCAAGGCCCCCGACTCCCCACAGCTTTCCAAGTCCCCTCCTCTCTGGGGTTTCTGGCAAGTGATTGAACAGTGCGCCAATGTGCAGCCTGCCTTTGCTCCTCCATTGTCAGACGTTTCCTGGCTCTGAGAGACAAGCAGGGAGAGTGGCTTCTAGCAGAAGGAGAGGGAGCCATCGGTAGCTCCTCCTTCTCCTGACTCACCTCTGCCTCTCGACCTTCCTCTCCCACTCGCTTCCTTCCTCTTCTGCCTCTGATTCTGCACTGCATTCTGCCACAGAGTCTCCCAGCTCACTAAGCCCTGTTACCCCTTCAGCTTCTGACACCTCCTCTTCCCAGGCTTCTCCCTCTTCTCCCTCTGACCGCTCATCCTTTCTCCACCTCCACTCCTTGGGCTCTGAGTCGTCTTCCCTTCCTGGTTCCCCGGCTGCTTCCTCCCACCATTCCTCTGTGCCCAACCAGTCCATGACATTGCTCCATCCCTTGGCCTCTGTCCCCACAAGGCAGCTTCCTCTGACCTGATCTGGTTCCACAGCTGCTGCTTCCCTTCTGCCCCCATGAATAGATGGATAAGGAGGTCTTGCCAGCATCCTTCTGTCACCTGCAAGAGAGAAAAGGTAATCAGGATGCCAGGAGTGCCTGCTTCTCTCACAGGTGAAAGAGGGCATCTCTAACTATAGATGGGCCTTTGAGAAGCCTTACCTGCTGAGTGCATTAGGAACTTTGTGCCCATTTCATATGTTAGGTAAAGGTAAAGGGACCCCTGACCATTAGGTCCAGTCGTGGCCGACTCTGGGTTTGCGACGCTCATCTCGCTTTATTGGCGAGCAGGCGTTTATTGGGGAGCAGGCGTACAGCTTCTGGGTCATGTGGCCAGCATGACTAAGCTGCTTCTGGCGAACCAGAGCATCACACGGAAATGCCGTTGACCTTCCCGCTGGAGCGGTACCTATTTATCTACTTGCACTTTGACGTGCTTTCGAACTGCTAGGTTGGCAGGAGCAGGGACCAAGCAACAGGAGCTCAACCCGTTGCAGGGATTTGAACCGCCGACCTTCTGATCATCAAGTCCTAGGCTCTGTGGTTTAACGCACAGCGCCACCTGCGTCTCAGATTTCATATGTTAATTGTGCAAAAATACATCTCCCCTCCTCTGGACCCCTGTTCCCAACTGTCTCCCCCCAATACAAGATGAAAAGAACCCTCAGACAAGTTGGAAAACCAACAGAATGAGACCAAAAGGAGAAAAACCACCTTTCTCCTTACCCAGTGGCCTCTCTCTGGTGTCCAGCGGAGGCCTCTCTGCCTCACAGGAATCCAGGTCCATTTCTGCAAAGAGATCCTTTCCCTGAGAAAGAAACAAGGATTCAAAACAGAGAATGGGGAGAAATACTAGAAAGAGAATGACAAGGACTTGAAGGGTGTGAGATCTCATTCCATGGATGTCTCCTCAGAAAAAGGATGGGCCATCAGTAGAGCATTATGGGATGTTCTCCGTCCTGCTTGGAGCCCCTTGGGAGTATCCAGAGAAAGGTCTCTCTCACCTGCTTTCTCTCCTCTGCCTGACTCAGGAGGAAACCTTCGGCCAGGGCCACCGCCTGCGAACTGGTCTCCGCTCCACAGTCCCTCACCCAGCTCTCCATCTCCGGTGGAAGGACAGCCAGGAACTGCTCCAAGATCACCAGGTCCAGCATCTCAGCTTTCGTGTGCCTTTCCGGCTTCAGCCACTGGTGGCAAAAGTGGTAGAGTCGGCTGCAAACCTCTCGGGGTCCTTTGGCCTCCTGGCAGCAGAACTGCCTCACCTGCTGGCTCTGCCCCTCTGAGCGGAGGGTGTCCTCCTCACCCAGGATCTTCTGCACAGAGTTTTCCCAGAATCCCCCACTGCTCCCAATTTGGTTGGCATGGCCTCTTCTTGCTTCAGGGCGAGCTGAGTCTCGCACATCCATCTGTGCTCTCAGGAAGCCTCTGAGAGATCGGAAGGAACACTTTGGTCTTCTGCCAGGTTCTGTCCGTATTCATGTGAAGCTGTACCAAAACCTACAAAGCAAATACATTGTTCTGTTACAGAATCTGTAGGACGGGGGGGGGGGGGATGGTTCCCTGAGCAAGCATGGATTGCTGGGAACCTGGGCTGGACTGCACCGCATCCCAGACCATGAGCTATCTTTTTTAAAAGAAAGAGGAGGAAGAGGAGACGAAATAAGTCTCTAGCCTTCTAGCAATGCAAAATGTGGAGGCAACTGAAGAGATTTCTACGAGATGAATCAGCCTGGTTTCTCCTGCCTTCCAGTCAATGCATGAAGTCAGAACTGACTGACAAGGGAGTCATTTGTATCTTGTGGAAAATGGATACTTGGCTCTAGTGGGGGTCCTCACCCGGGGGTTTTCAGGAGTTGCTCCCCGCCTCCACTCCCCTGCTTCTGTCTCCTTATTTGCACTTGGACTCTCTGCTGCTCTCCAGACAGACTCCTGGGGCGGGGTCCTTTTTCTTTGCTCCGAGGGCCAGGTATGTATCTGGAAAACGCCAGAGAGCCAAGTGGACGGGGCCAAAGGCATTTCCCTTGAAATTTAGGCGGCCAATTTATTATGATTATTCTCTTAGATAGCTTAACACATGCACAGCCACTGATGCCAAGGTCCCTGGAGGCTCAGTGAGTAGCAGCGCCCATTTCCGGCTCGGCTGGTTTTCCAGCAACAATCCCTTTGGGACAGAGAGGATGTGGTCCTGGGATGCCCTGCTCTGGGTGCGAGGGGATTGCTGCAGTGGCCTCCGTGGGGAGCTGCCCTGGGAGACACTGGGAAACTGGTCCGCAATGGAGCAGCCAGACTTTCCTTCCTTTCTCCCCATGGTTTTTTTTTGGGGGGGGGGCTAGTCCACCTCCTTGTCCAGCTTTGGAAAACCATTTGCCGATGTTTTGCAGTGATGCTGAGAGACGTCACACAGAGTTAAAGTCCTAGGGACTCCTTTGTTTAAAGAAGAAGGTGGAATCCAAAATGAATCCCATGAGTTTGGGACCCTCTGATCTGCAGGAAGGAGAGCGTGGCAGACCTGGCCCCTCCCTGGCAGGACCCTCTCCTCCCTGACTTGGGGTCCCCCCCCCACATGAGCAGATCAGGCCCCCCAGGCACCCTCCCCTGCTGCAGCCCTGGGACCCCCACCAGATCCCAGCGAGAGAGGAGACTCACCAGATCCCAGGAGGGGACAGCGATGCAACCCTTGCAGCAGAGACACAAAACAACACCCCCCCTTTCTTGCAGGAAAGGACTGGGGAGGGAGGGGCTTTGGCTCTGGAGGACCTGCCCCCCTTGCTTCCTGTCCTCTCTAGGAATGCAGCTCACTTCCCTTTAACCCTTCCAGGACCGAGTCCACCTGGCTCAGCCATCTCTCGCTTGGCAGGACCTCATATTTTTATTACTTTTTTATGGATTTAGGGGGGGTAGTTGCCCCCCTGGCTATGCCTATGGTAAGGGATCCTTTTTTGAGGGGGGGCCTTTGGCTCTTGGCTGGGCTCTGAGCATCTCCCTCAGTCCCTTTGGGGGGGCCTTTGGCTCTTGGCTGGGCTCTGAGCATCTCCCTCAGTCCCTTTTTTGGGGGGCCTTTGGCTCTTGGCTGGGCTCTGAGCATCTCCCTCGGTCCCTTTGGGGGGGCCTTTGGCTCTTGGCTGGGCTCTGAGCATCTCCCTCAGTCCCTTTTTTGGGGGCCTTTGGCTCTTGGCTGGGCTCTGAGCATCTCCCTCGGTCCCTTTGGGGGGGCCTTTGGCTCTTGGCTGGGCTCTGAGCATCTCCCTCGGTCCCTTTGGGGGGGCCTTTGGCTCTTGGCTGGGCTCTGAGCATCTCCGTCGGTCCCTTTGGGGGGGCCTTTGGCTCTTGGCTGGGCTCTGAGCATCTCCCTCAGTCCCTTTTTGGGGGGGCCTTGGGCTCTTGGCTGGGCTCTGAGCATCTCCCTCGGTCCCTTTGGGGGGTCCTTTGGCTCTTGGCTGGGCTCTGAGCATCTCCCTCGGTCCCTTGGTGGGGGTCCTTTGGCTCTTGGCTGGGCTCTGAGCATCTCCCTCGGTCCCTTTTTGGGGGGGCCTTTGGCTCTTGGCTGGGCTCTGAGCATCTCCCTCGGTCCCTCAGCCAGGAAGCGGAGGAGCAGCGCAGTCCAGGCTGGAGCGCAGCGGGCGAGACACTGCTGGTCTGGCTTGGGAGAGCGATCCCTGCTGCAGCCAGAGGAAGGCCGGAGCCCCGCCCGAGAGAGAGAGAGAGAGAGAGAGAGAGAGAGAGGAGAGCGCTGTGTTGGAGCTTCCTGGGTCTCCCTCTCCTGAGGGCAACAATCTGGCCCTGAGACACACAAGTTCTTCCTTTGGTTACATTCACTGTGTGGTTGCCTCATTTCAGAGGGCGTTTCTTTCATTTGTGCCATATTTTACACCATTATTTCAGCTTTGAGGTCGTACATGTTCCCGTTAGTCTTTGTCAGTATTTTCATGCCTCCCATTGCAAAGATCATGTTTGTTTTACTTTCTGTCTCAGAGAAAAGAGGGGCGGAAACCACTCCTCCAGACTTCCGTCTCTAGCACTGTGCTGTTTTTCTTTGATCTGCCTAGAGACTAGGTGGCAGTATGAGAGACCTGACTCTCGCGTGCATGTTTGTTATGTTCTTTTGTTTTGTTTAACCAGTAGTAATAAAGTGAGGTATGGAACAAAATAAGGTATGCAACAGCATCTTAAAAAGAGCACCTAAGGAGCACGTAAGGAGCACCGAATCCTTGGTCTCCCACAGGGCTGGTCATATCATTATTAGGCAGAGACAGCATCTTAAAAAGCAGAGACATCACCTTGCCAACAAAGGTCCGTATAATAAAAGCTCTGGTTTTCCCAGTAGTGATGTATGGAAGTGAGAGCTGGACCATAAAGAAGGCTGATCGCCGAAGAATTGATGCTTTTGAATTCTGGTGCTGGAGGAGACTCTTGAGAGTCCCATGGACCGCAAGACGATCAGACCTCTCCATTCTGAAGGAAATCAGCCCTGAGTGCTCACTGGAAGGACAGATCGCGAAGCTGAGGCTCCAATACTTTGGCCACCTCATGAGAAGAGAAGACTTCCTGGAAAAGCCCCTGATGTTGGGAAAGATGGAGGGCACAAGGAGAAGGGGACGACAGAGGACAAGGTGGTGGGACAGTGTTCTCAAAGCTACCAGCATGAGTTTGACCAAACTGCGGGAGGCAGTGGAAGACAGAAGTGCCTGGCGTGCTCTGGTCCATGGGGTCACGAAGAGTCGGACACGACTAAACGACTAAACAACAACAACAACATTCAACAAAACCTCCATTGTTTCGCTTCCGTTACTCTGCTGCATTTGAGGTGCTCACAGTAGCAAATGTGAGTCCGCTGCACCAGGACATGTTCCAGAGGAATGCTGTGCTCTGCTGTTCCTGCATTCCTGTGATCGAAGGGTCAGAGAAGGTGCTCCTGACACTCAGCCCATGCAGGAGCTGAAGACGTGGGCTTAAAGGGTGTACGGACAGTCTGTTGGCAAACACTTTATTAATAGGAGGTTACAGGACTGTGACAGGGCACCCCCCCCCCATGATCCTTTTACATCAGCAGGAAGCAAGGAACCTCATCCTAGAATTCAGGAGTGGGAGGGGATCCCAGGGTAGAAGGGGATCCCAGGGTCATCTAGTCCAACCCCCAGCAATGCAGGAATCTCAGTGAAAGCGTCCGTGGCAGATGCCCGTCCGATCTCTTCTTAGAAACCTCCAAGGAAGGAGAGTCCACCACCTCCCAAGGGAGACCTTTCCCCTGCCAAACTGCAGCTAGATGTCCCTCAAGGCAGCGGGTCCTGAGTTCCAGCACTGCTGAAACAATCACACTGGCCACCAAGGAGGAACCAAGCGAAGTTCAAAATAAATAAATCCTATTCTCATCATAAATGAGTAATACTTTCTGATGCATGCTTTTATGCTAATACAGTGGTACCTCTAGTTACGAACTTAATTCATTCCTGAGGTTTGTTCTTAACCTGAAACTGTTCTTAACTAGAGGCGTGCTTTCACTAATGGGGCCTCTTGCTGCTGCTGCGCCGCTGGCACATGATTTCCATTCTCGTCCTGGGGCAAAGTTCTCAACTCGAAGTAACTCTTCCAGGTTAGTGGAGTTTGTAACCTGAAGTGTTTGTAACCTGAGGCGGTTGTAAGTAGAGACTGTATACAAAGTGTATCAATTCCTCTTCCTGAAATACTTAATTGCTAATTCAAGGGACACTGAAGTCCTTGCAGAGATGAGAGGACAGCTTTTCAGATTAGTTAGCTGGGAGTGAGACAGTTGGCAGAGTGGCATTGGGCCCGCTAAGATGCCAGCTACTACAGGAAATGCTTTATTGAGAGTTTTTAGGAATGCAATACCATTTTCAATTTTTTTTTTGAAGATTCATTTTTAAGTAATGGCCATGTGTGAGCAAATACTGCACATCTGCCAAGCTTGCAGAAGCAGGACTAACCCAAAGGTTGAGGGAAAGGCTCTATCTCCCGTCTTCCTTTTCATTATCAGTTCTTTTCACCTAAGAAATGGGAAGAAAGCAGCTGCTCATGCTAAGCGCAGGGTTTGTTGGGGTTGACATTAATGAGCTGACTGTGGTGTGATTTGTCAGCAATAAATATTTGTCCTTATCTGTAAGTGAAGTCACATTTGAAACAATACAGAAGCAGTCAAAGGGAATTTCCTAGGAAGTCTTTTATTCAGTCTCACCTGCAATCATGTGTGCTGAACACACAGAAACCCATAGATAATGTGAAATTACAGTCTCCAAATAACAGAAAACACATATAAGCAGATTATTGGAATAGTACACATGATTTCTCTACCTCCTTTTTAAAAGAAAAAAAATACTGCTTTTATTTATTTTCATGGTACAAAAGATAATTTTAAAGAAAGCAATGGTTACAACAGTAAATAAGAAATAACTTGTCCTGATGAAATTGTAGACTTTCATTCTGCCATGTGTTAAAGTTTCATTGGATTATTCTAAAAAAGATCACACCACCTTTTCCCATGAGTGCTGGGTGGATTCTTGCAACAGTCGTCACAATTTATGTATTCAATAAACATTGGCCACATGTTATAAAAGGAATATGGATTGTGTTCCCCCACCTTCTTCATTTCTCCTGGCAAACAAAATTTAAGATACTTAAATGGTGGTGCCAAGAATCGAACATAGTATTCTAGGTGGGGCCTGACCAAGGCAGAATAAAGTGGTCTGATTCTGCCTTCTGCAACATTAGCCTCCGCTCCTGGTTTGGTGTTAATAGTAATAATAATAATTTATTTTTTATTTATACCCCGCCCATCTGACTGGGTTTCCCCAGCCACTCTGGGCGGCTTCCAACAAAATATTAAAATACAATAGTCCATCAAATATTAAAAGCTTCCCTAAACAGGGCTGCATTCAGATGTCTTCTAAAAGTCAGATAGTTGTTTATTTCCTTGACATCTGATGGGAGGGCAGTCCACAGGGAGGGGCCCCACCACCAAGAAGGCCCTCTGCTTGGCTCCCTGTAGCTTCTCTTCTCACAGTGAGGGAACCGCCAGAAGGCCCAAGGCGATGGACCTCAGTGTTCGGGCAGAACAATGGAGACGTTCCTTCAGGTCTACTGGGCCGAGGTCATTTAGGACTTTAAAGGTCAGCACCAACACTTTGAATTGTGCCCAGAAACATACTGGGAGCCAATGTAGGTCTTTCAAGACCGGTGTTATATGGTCTTGGCAGCCGTTCCGAGTCACCAGTCTAGCTGCCGTATTCTGGTTTAGCTGTAGTTTCCAGGTCACCTTCAAAGGTAGCCCCACGTAGAGCGTGTTGCAGTAGTCCAAGCAGGAGATAACTAGCACCACTCTGGCGAGACAGTCTGTGGGCAGGTAGGGTCTCAGCCTGCATACCAGATGGAGCTGGTAGATAGCTGCCCTGGACACAGAATTGACCTGAGCCTCCATGGACAGGTGTGAGTCCAAAATGACTCCCAAGCTGTGCACCTGGTCCTTCAGGGGCACAGTTGCCCCATTCAGGACCAGGGAGTCCTCCACACCAGCCTGCTCCCTGCCTCCCCCCAAAACAGTACTCTTTTCTTTTCAGGATTCAACCTCAATCTGTTAGCAGTCATTCATCCTCCAACCGCCTCCAGACACTCACACAGGACCTTTAGAAGGGGATTGGGCTGGATCTGGCCCCCAGGCCTTAGTTTGCCTACCCATGCTCTAGACCAGGGATGTCCAACACGTTGACTGCAATCTACTGGTCGATGCCTGCAATGTTTTGGCAGATCATGGTTGATCGCTGGCCCCCTTCCGGCCCCACCCTCTCTCCCTGCACCGGCCTCTATTGTTGCAGAAGGGAAGCTGGAGTTTAGAAACCGAGGCCGTTATCTGGCCAGCGATTGTAAGGTTAGTGACTGCATCTATTCCTCCCTCCTTAAAAAAAGGTCAACAACCTAGAGCTGAATCCCTAAAAGACAGGGCATTTCCCCTCCCCAAAAAAGCTCAACAACTCTTTGACCTCAATTCCTAAAAAACGGGGGTAGATCACTGCCAGATTTTAATTTTGAAAGTATATCGCAGTCTCTCGGGAGTTGGCCACCCCTGCTCCAGATGGTCCAGAAGGATGTTATGGGCAATGGTATCAAAAGCCACTGAGAGATCCAGCAGAACTAGGAAACAGTTCTCACCTTTGTCCCTAGCCCACCAGAGATCATCGACCACTGCGAACAAGGCATTTTCAGTCAAATGATGAGGCCTGAATCCCGACTGGAAGGGATCCAAATGGTCTGCATCTTCCAGGCGTGTCTGGAGTTGTTCAGCAACCACTTGCTCAATCACCTTGCCCAAGAATGGAAGATTTGAGGTTGGGTGATAGGTGGCCATATTGGCCAGGTCTAAAGATGTTTTTTAAAGAAGCGGTTTAATAACTGTCTTTTTCCGTGGGTCTGGGAAGGCCCCCTCACAGCGAGAAGCATTCACCACTCCATGAAGCCCATCGCCCAGCCCTTCCCGGCTTGCTTTTATCAGCCAGGATGGACAGCAGGTCCCATCCTGGACCAGATGGAGAGAGGCAGGGACAGGACCTGCAGGTACTCACAGCAGGGGTTGCCTGCAAATGTGATGAGCATCCCCTCAGTTCCTTCATCCAAGTTATTTCTAAAGACGTTGAACAACAACGGGCCCAGGACAGAACCCTGCAGCTGTTGGGATACTGCCAGGGAGACAAAGTCCATCATGGCCCCCAGGTCGCCTCCGGACGTCCATCGATCTCCCGTAGACACGCAGTATCAGCAATTAGTGACACGAGCTCCAGAAATAGCCTGCCACATTCCAGAGCCGATGCACGCTCTATCAGCAGATAGGGCACAGCGAAAGATGCACGCAGGAGAGCATTATTTACAAGTTTATTCAGCATTGAGCATAACAAAGAAAACATGACTGCCTGCTTCAGTGTCTCTGACACAGAGAGAGAAACGAAAGCAAAGACACAACAGAAACATCCTGTGAACAGGAAATACGCAGACTCTGTGACTCACAAAGCCTGCTCCCTTTTAAGGTGGAACGGAAATATCCTAACATCCTCCCCCTTTCCGTGTAACCTGTGGTACCTGTGGTTCAACCCAATTGCAACCTCTGTACATAAACCTTAAGTTGTTCTCTGTTAACAACCTTAGACAACAGATCAGCAGGTATTTCATTTCCTGCCATGTAGGACACCTGAATGAGTCCTTTCTCAATACACTCTCTTGCACGATGTAGCTTAATCTGCAAGTAGTTGGTTCTTTGCTTGCAACTCTCTGAGTTCAGCAAAGCCAAACAGGATCTATTGTCTTGATACACTTGTATAGGACATTTCACAGAAACTCTGATGTCCTTAAACAGTTGCATCAACCATTCACAATCCATGAGTGAAAATGACAAGAGCATTGAGTTCTGCTTCACAGGAACTTAGGCTTACTTAGGCCTTGAAGACCCATTTGCTGCCAACCAGTCTCATTCCTGGGACAACCGGTACCAGTTCCCAAGTCTGGTTCCTATTCAAGGAATCAACTTCAGCCTTCATGGCATTAAGCCAAGGCTCAGCATCTTTAGAGGTTAACTCCTGAACCTCTTTGAAGCTTGAAGGTTCCCACACCTTCTCTGAGCTACTAAGAACAGCAGTTGCCGTCTTAGCAAACTCATCAGCAAATCTCTTTGGAGGTTTGCCCTTCGTCGCCCTTTCAGATCTGTGTACTAGACGCAAGTCTTCTGGACTCATCTCCTCCTTCTTAGGAGAAAAGTGACCAATGGTGAACAGTGGTTCTTCCAGTTCATTGTCAGACGCATCAGATGGTCTGACTGAGGCCTTTGCGCTCTTGTAGTCTGCTGTGTCATCACTGTCGCTGACATCAGCAGCAGCGCCGCCCACTGAACTGGAATCCGAACTCTGATCATCATCCTCAGCTTCCTCTTCTAACTCAACATCAGCTGCTTTTTTCACATCACCTTCATCTTCCTCTGGGCAACTCTGGAAAATTCCCACATTTTCCCCCCACTTAGGATTGTACTCAACACTCTTTGTGAACTTAATGGACTTAGAATCAGCATTAGACACAACAGCACCATTGTCATCATAAGTTATACAGAACAATCCATCTATAAACTTTGCATGCAAAATGTCCTCTTTGCCTTTCCTGATGACACAGACGCTCCTCTTGAAAGAAATCTCAAAACCACGCCCAGTCAGCTGTGGGACACTGAGCAAATTGTCTGCAGCACCTGGAACATAAAGTACACCTTTGATGGTTGTGTGCAGACTTGCCAGTCTCACAGTCCCTTCTCCTGCGATTCGCAACGTCTTTCCGTCAGCCAGGTGGAGCTCACCATCTTGCATTTAAAAGAAACAAAGTATTTGAAAAATGAAAGTAATCTTTTTTTTTCTTGTTGGTCCTGCTTTCAAAAGATGGATACAAATAGAAATTGTCTCCTCTAGAGGGAGCTTGTTAATTTGTTGCCGGAGTCGATCTGGGGATTTCACAGCTGTAAGATTATGATCGTGAGACCAGACTCTGACCTTGAATAAAAATGTGTTTACAAGAAGTTTTGGTGCTTGCTCATTGCAAGACAAGCGCTTTGCTGGAGCAGATGCATGAGAAGATGGATTTGATGACTGTTGCAGTTAAAAACTTTGGACAAACAGCGAATACCCATATAGAAACCATTCAGGAACCAGCCCAGGAACTTGTGTTGACAGGGCAAGCGCAATTGCAGAAGATAATGGAGGAGGCTGCTGTTGAACCTCAAGTAACAAAAATGAAGAGATCTGAGGCCTTGCAGGAGCATAAGCCGTTGTTGTTGAAATTTGAATCTGGAGTGGACCGGGGGGGTCTGGAGTTGTGAGGGCTCTTAATTTTGGAAGGACTTTGAAACATGCTTTTGAATACTTTCTGGATTGCAGTGTTGACTGTGGGGAATGGGACTGTGGGGAATGAGCTGATCTGCTGAGGAGAGATGGAGATATTTTTGGATTGGAGTCCTCCCGAGACCTACCCACCAAGGAGAAAGGAAAGAAATTAAGAAAAAGATCAAGAAAAGACAAAGTAAAGTGCAGGTATAAACAAGATCTGCAGAAGGGACATGGAAATGACTTAAGAGCCTCGGACATAAGATTACCAGGTTGAGGGACTAGATGGAATGGACAAGAAGGACTGACAAAACCCGAGACCAGGAAGAAGAGACGTTGGATGAAGATTGGAAGAAAGTTTTTAAAAAATATTTTGAGAATTAGTGTAAAATTAAGGAGTATTAGGAAAAATGTTGGAATGAAACTATTTGGCCTTAGTAGAAATGATATAAGGAGTTATGTACATTATGTTTTAAGTTTTAAGGTTTTTTTTATGGTAAGATAAGGTTAAATAAATTAAGGTAAATTGAATGACAGAATATAGTGAAAGATGGAAAGGATTTGTTGAGTTAATTAAAAGGTTAGATCGTTAAGATAAATTATATAACAAAAATTGAGAAAGATGGAAAGAATTTGCTGAAACAATAAATTAAACTAGAATACAAAAAGGGAGGTGTGAGGAGGTCGATGAAACAAGTAATCGAAAGATAAAGATATGGAACATTGGATGTGTGTTTTAATGTTATTGTGTTTTTATTTTTTTGCTGTATTGTATTTTTTATGCTTTTCTTTTTATCTTTGTCAAATTTTTTTCTGTAATTCTTAAACTTTTAATAAATATCATTTTTTAAAAAAACAAAAAAACAGAAACATCCTGTGAACAGGAAATACGCAGACTCTGTGACTCACAAAGCCTGCTCCCTTTTAAGGTGGAACAGAAATATCCTAACAGCAGCACCCCTCTTGTCACTTTTCCCCAGGATGATGAGGAACCATGAAGGAGTCCTCTTTGGGTTCAGTCAGTCAAATCCACCTAACAGTTACCTCATTCAGCCCACATTTTACCATCTTCCTCGCATAAATATCACAGGGGACTTTGTCAAAAGCCTTACTGAAATCAAAACACACTACAAAATTTGTAACTCCATCCAAAAAAGGGGAGGAGAGATTTCTCTGGCTTGACTTGTTTTTGAGAAAGCCATGCTTTCATCCTTTGTGTTTCTGTTCTGAAATCTTCAGGAGAAAGGCACATAAACTTTAAAAATGATAATAAATAAGGATATTGACAAGCTGGAACATGTGCAAAGGAGAGCGATTTATGTATTTATTTAATTTGTATACCACCCGACCCAGTGATGCCAACTTGAATAAAATATAGGTGGGGGGGGCAGGTAAGGCCCCCCTTGCACAATCAATGACATGATGCATGCACGCCATTTGAATGGCAATGCCTACCAACTGGGGGTTTCCCAACTGGTTGCAAATGGGATCAGTTCCGGAGCCATGTTCACAACCTGAAAGGAACACAATCCACATCTGCGTGTCTGCGCATGCGTGGGTCGCAATTTGCCGCTTCTGCACATTCGTGTGATGTCATTTTACGTGTCTGCACATGTGTGAGTGGCAAAACCTGGAAGTAAACCCTTTCAGCCACTTCCGGGTCACCGCGGGATGCAACCTGAAAAGACGTAACCTGAAACAAACGTAACAAGAGGTACGACTGTATATTATGGGGGGGGGCAAAGACCCATCGGCCTCTAAAAGTCGACTCCTGTTCCCACGTCTCAGGACGGTTACAACATAAAACGACAATATAAAAACACAAAATACACATCTGTAACCCCCGTCCCTACCACATTTTAAAAGGGCATTAGATGTCAATCAGTCCAAGGCCTGGTTAACAAGGTGCGGATTTGCCTGGCTCCTAAAGCTATATAATGGTTTTTCCAACGTTTGTATGAATTCTCTGATGCTTAGTGAGATGGGAGCTCTGACTGAAGCTCTTTCCACATTGCATGCACTGATAGGGTTTCTCCCCTGTATGAATTCTCTGATGGGAAGTGAGATAGTGGCTGTAACTGAAGCTCTTTCCACATTCCACACACTGATAGGGTTTCTCCCCTGTATGAATTCTTTGATGGGAATTGAGAGAGGAGCTTGTACTGAAGCTCTTTCCACATTCCACACACTGATAGGGTTTCTCTCTTGTATGAATTTTCTGATGAAAAGTGAGATTGGAGCTCTTACTGAAGCTCTTTCCACATTGCATGCACTGATAGGGTTTCTCCCCTGTATGAATTCTCTGATGGAAAGTGAGAGAGGAGCTCTGAGTGAAGCTCTTTCCACATTCCACGCACTGATAGGGTTTCTCCCCTGTATGAATTCTCTGATGCTTAGTGAGATGGGAGCTCTGACTGAAGCTCTTTCCACATTCCATGCACTGATAGGGTTTCTCCCCTGTATGAATTCTCTGATGGGAAGTGAGATACTGGCTGTAACTGAAGCTCTTTCCACATTCCACACAGTGATAGGGTTTCTCCCCTGTATGAATTCTTTGATGGCAAGTGAGAGAGCAGCTCTTCCTGAAGCTCTTTCCACATTCCACGCACTGATAGGGTTTCTCCCCTGTATGAATTATTTGATGGGAATTGAGAGAGGAGCTTGTACTGAAGCTCTTTCCACATTCCACACACTGATAGGGTTTCTCTCTTGTATGAATTTTCTGATGGGAAGTGAGAGAGGAGCTCTGAGTGAAGCTCTTTCCACATTCCATGCACTGATAGGGTTTCTCCCCATTATGAATTCTCTGATGGGAAGTGAGATGGGAGCTCTGACTGAAGCTCTTTCCACATTCCATGCACTGATAGGGTTTCTCCCCATTATGAATTCTCTGATGCATAGTGAGATTGGAGCTCTTACTGAAGCTCTTTCCACATTCCACACACTGATAGGGTTTCTTTCCTGTATGAATTCTTCGATGGGAACTGAGATAGGAGCTCGTATTGAAGCTCTTTCCACATTCCAGGCACTGATAGGGTTTCTCCCCAGTATGAATTCTCTGATGGGAAGTGAGATGGTGGCTGTAACTGAAGCTCTTTCCACATTCCACACACTGATAGGGTTTCTCCCCTCTATGAATTCTTTGATGGAAAGTGAGAGAGGAGCTCTTACTGAAGCTCTTTCCACATTCCACGCACTGATAGGGTTTCTCCCCTGTATGAATTCTTTGATGGGAAGTGAGATCGGAGCTCTGACTGAAGCTCTTTCCACATTCCACACACTGATAAGGTATCTCCCCTGTATGAATTCTTTGATGGGAATTGAGAGAGGAGCTCTTACTGAAGCTCTTTCCACATTGCATGCACTGATAGGGTTTCTCCCCTGTATGAATTCTCTGATGGGAAGTGAGATGGTGGCTGCAACTGAAGCGCTTTCCACATTCCACACACTGATAGGGTTTCTCCCCAGTATGAATTCTCTGATGGGAAGTGAGATGGTAGCTCTTACTGAAGCTCTTTCCACATTCCACACACTGATAGGGTTTCTCCCCTCTATGAATTCTTTGATGGAAAGTGAGAGAGGAGCTCTTACTGAAGCTCTTTCCACATTCCACGCACTGATAGGGTTTCTCCCCTGTATGAATTCTTTGATGGGAAGTGAGATCGGAGCTCTGACTGAAGCTCTTTCCACATTCCACACACTGATAAGGTTTCTCCCCTGTATGAATTCTCTGATGCCTAGTGAGAGAGGAGCTCATGCTGAAGCTCTTTCCACATTCCCCACACTGATAGGGTTTCTCCCCTGTATGAATTCTCTGATGGGAAGTGAGATGTTGGCTGCAACTGAAGCGCTTTCCACATTCCACACACTGATAGGGTTTCTCCCCAGTATGAATTCTTCGATGGGAACTGAGATAGGAGCTCGTATTGAAGCTCTTTCCACATTCCAGGCACTGATAGGGTTTCTCTCCTGTATGAATTCTTCGATGGGAAGTGAGATCAGAGATCTGTCTGAAGCTCTTTCCACATTCCACGCACTGATACGGTTTCTCCCCTGTATGAATTCTTTGATGGGAAGTGAGATCAGAAATCTGTCTGAAGCTCTTTCCACATTCCATGCACTGATAGGTTTTCTCCCCTGTATGAATTCTCTGATGGGAAATGAGATGGGAGCCCAGACTGAAGCTCTTTTCAAATTCAAAGCACTGATAGGGTTTCTCCCCTTTATGAATTTTCTGATGGGAAGTGAGATTGAAGCTTTTCCTGAAGCTCTTTCCACATTCCATGCACTGATAGGGTTTCTTTCCAATGAGAATTCTTGGTTGGGAAGTGAGAGAGGAGCTCTCACTGCTGCTCTCTCCAAATTCCAAATTTTTGCATGGCTTCTCCTCTCCGGGGGTTTTGTCATGTTCATCCCTGTTCTTGTTTTCCAATTCATCAAAATCTGCAATGGAGACAAAAAAGGGATTAGAGCCTCAGGAACAAATCAAGAAGAACTGAAGGGAGTGGGGTGTTTGTTCGTTGCCTTTGTTGGTTGTCATTAACCAACATTTTTATTAATATATTCTGATGGATTGATGAATGTCGATTTGTTTGATATACAATAGTGGCCAAAACTGTGGAAGCCTTTTGGGGGGAAAGTGTATTTCAGATATTTGATGGCTCATAACGCCACTTTGTTTTGAGTAATACCTTAGAATTATGTATCAATGGAAAGATAATTTAATGAAGAATGTAATCTGTATCTGTATTCTATCAACAGTCAAAACTGAATAACCAGAAAAAGGAAGCACAACTTGCTTAGGTTGACTTTTGACAGTGTGTTGTGTGATGGCTATCATGTTGGTTGGTTATTTGTTGTTTTTTCATTTAGTGGTTTGTAAAACATAATAAAATTAAAGAAATGGCACAAGAAGTTGACTGGACACCCAGAAAGTGATGTAAAATAGTACTATTAAGTGAAAAAGGCTACAGTTATGAAGAAATTAGAAGAAAGATGGAGGATTCTTTTTCTTTTTCCAATTTTATCCAATTTTGTTTTAAAAAGTACTGTATTTTTTGCTCCATAGGGCGCATGGGGGGGAAATCAAGGAAAAAAACTTATTTCTCCCCCCAGCCCCAAAGAGCAATGAAGCCAAGAAAACGAGCGGGATCCATCCCGTGGGCTGTCTTGGCTTCCTCTTTAGCTGCGCCAACCTCTCCAGCCGGGAGAGGCTGCGTACGGCTTTGGCATAAGCCAAGACAGCGAGCGGGATGGATCCCGCTCGCTGTCTTGGCTTCGTTTTTAGCCGCGGGGCTGGGGCGGGGTCCCCCGACCCCAGAACAGGTCCAGGAGCAGCGGCAAGATTGAGCGCAACCTCGCCGCTACTCCCGGAGCTTGCGGGGCTGGGGACGGGCTTCCCCCGACCCCAACCCCCAGAACAGGCAGCTATCCGCAAGCCTTCCGAGCACAGCGGGAACTCCTGCCACACTCGGAAGGCTTGCGGATAGCTGCCTGAAGCCCCTGGAGTGCAGCCTTTGATTCCTCTGCAGAGAAGCGGGGTGAAGGCACCCCGCTGCCCTGCGGAGGCTTTGCGCAGCTATCCCAAAGCTAGAACAGTGAGACGGAGCGCTGCACAGCGCTCCGTCTCCCTGTTCTGGCTTTGGGCTTAGTTGCGCAGCCTGCATTCGCTCTACAGGATGCACACACATTTCCTCTCAATTTTTGGAGGGGGAAAAGTGCGTCCTATAGAGCGAAAAATACGGTATATAGCATTTTATTAGAGTGGGAAACCAAAGATGAAGAGGTTAAATCAGTCATGTTTAAATGGGCTCAGTATGTGGGACACAACATTCAGGTTGCAAGTTGGGGGAAATTGGGGAAAGTTGACATAAAATTTACAGATTGTATATTATTAAGAGAAATTTACATGAAAATGATGTATAGATGGTATATCACACCAGTGAAAATGGCAAAGATGTTTAAGAAAGAAAATAAGAGATGCTGGAGATGTAAAGAAAAGGAAGGAACATTTTATCATATGTGGTGGGAATGCAAATGCATTAAAAATATTGGGAAATGATATATAATGAACTGAAAAAATGTTTAAAATGAGCTTTGGTAAACATCCTGAAGCCTTTCTGTTAGGTATCTCAAATCAAGAGCTGCCAAAAGAAAAATGGACATTATTTATGTATGCTACAACAGTGGCAAGAATCTTGACTGCACAAAATTGGAAGATGGAAGAAATACCATCAAAAGAACAATGGTAAGAAAAACTGGTGAATTATGCAGAATTGGTTAAGCTAACAGAGAAACTATGAGAGAAGGACAAAAAGGATTTTGAAAGAGTTTGGGAACCATTTACAGGTTATTTGCAGAAACAACAAAATGGATTGGACTCACTGGCAGGGTCTGAATAAACATTCACAACTTTATTATAGTAATAGAAATTTTAACAAAATGATAAGGGAATTTACTTTTATATAAAGCAGGACACAATAAATAAAACTAAATAACTCAGTAGAGGGGGAGTTTGTTGGAAAACTAGCCCCATCTGGAGAGGCTGTCCCCTCTCCCTGCTCCCGGAGCTGGTTTACCGGTGATCTGCCTCTGGTTGCGTTCCCAGACAGACCAGGGAGATCTTGATATAGGCGACATTTCCCAGCATGGAAAATGCACGCCCACTTCTCCCCCTTTGCAGGGGAAAGAAGAGTAGTCAGAAATCTATTTACATATTGTTTATTTCTGGCATTACAGCTCTACAGAAAACGTGTCCGATCACTTCAGTTTCCATCCAGCAAGTGACAAAGACTTCCTTTACAAACACAACAGGAAGGTCTCAAATTACACACTGGACACAGACTTCCAAAGCCTGTGAACTTCCCGGAATTTACTTTCCAACAGCTAGCCATATCACATGATGTCAACAAGCTGGCTGTCTGCAGCTGCGATGTTCTCATATTGTAACAGAGTCAAGGGAAATCCGGAGGACGGGACGGAGAACAATGGTATATAACATCATGATTAAGATATTTTTATTTGTTATAAAATTCAATAAATATTCATTTTTAAAAAAGGAAAAAGAAGAAGAAAGATTGAGGAAAACTTAACCAAAGCTGGCCTTTCTATATTTGTGAAGAGGTATAAGAAGACTCAGTCACTACAAAATCAGACTTGTAAAGGAAGGAAAAGGTGCACAACAGCAAGTGACGATCGAAGGATGAAGAGACTGTGCCTACGTGACAGAAGAAAATCATCCGGGTGTTTACAAGATGACATGGGGCAATGTAAGGTGAAGTTGAGTGCAAGGACTGGTATAATGCTAGAATTCCAAGGGAAAAGCCATTATCTCTCAAGCAAAGGTGGAAAAGATTAAACTGGCTAAAACCCATGGTAACTGGTCAGCGGAACAATGGGACAGTGTTATTTGGAGCAATGAGACCCCAATCTCCTTGCTTGGTAGTGATGGTATGACATACGCGAGGAGGAGAATGGGAGATTTACATCCTACTTGCATTACACCGACCGTGAAACACCCAGATAGTGTGATGATCTGGAGTTGTATGACAGCAAAAGGTGGGGGCAGAATTTGTGTCATTAATGGGAACGTCAATGCCCCCAAATACATAAATCAAATACTTGAGCCTGAACTGAAGTGTTCTGAATGTGAAATCATATTCCACTGCTGGAATGGCCTGGGAATAGCCCAAGCGAAAATCTTGGGAACCGACTAAAGAAACTTGTTAGTCAGAAGCAACCCAGCAATAAAGCCCAATTAATAGAGGCAATAATTCAGTCTTGGTTTCACATTATTGCAGCTGCAGAACTAAAAACCTTGCTTCACTCCATGGGAAGGCGTTGTAAGGCCGGAATTAAAGCTAAAGGTTACCGAAGTCAGTATTAATTGACATGGTGAGAATTTCTGTATATCTCCTTTTTTCTAAGCGTTTCACATTTCTTTGTTATGACTACTGTTCTAATAAATACTCCTCCATAAAAGTTATTGCATTGCAATCTTCATTAAATTATCTTTGCTATGGTAAGGTAAAGGTAAAGGGACCCCTGACCATTAGATCCAGTCGTGACCGACTCTGGGGTTGCGGCGCTCATCTCGCTTTATTGGCCGAGAGAGCCAGTTTGTCCACAGACAGCTTCCGGGTCATGTGGCCAGCATGACTAAGCCGCTTCTGGCGAACCAGAGCAGCGCACGGAAACGCAGTTTACCTTCCCGCCGGAGCGGTACCTATTTATCTATTTGCACTTTGACGTGCTTTCGAACGGCTAGGTTGGGAGGAGCAGGGACCGAGCAACGGGAGCTCACCCCATCGTGGGGATTCGAACCACCGACCTTCTGATTGGCAAGCCCTAGGCTCTGTGGTTTAACCCACAGCGCCACCCGCGTCCCTTTCCTATGGTATCATTTCCCAAAAAAGTGGTGTTATGAGCCATCAAACACACTTTTAAAAAAGGTTTCCATGATTTTAGCCACTAGTATAAGTTGTTCATGGATCATCCCCTTCATGGATCACTGCCTTGCCATGGCGAAAGGGCTTGAATAACTCAGAGAAGCTATGAGCTATGCCGTGAAGGGCCACCCAAGATGGACAGGTCATAGTGGAGAGTTTTGACCAAACGTGATCCACCTGGAACAGGAACCGGCAAGCCACTCCAGTATCCCTGCCAAGAAAACTCCATGGACAAAGACAACAGGCATATAAATGTTATGACGCTGGAAGATGAGCCCCTCAGGTCGGAAGGCGTCCAACATGCTACTGAGGAAGAGCGGAGGACAAGTACAAGTAGATTCAGAGCTGATGAAGCGGCTGGGCCAAAGCCGAAAGGACGCTCAGTTGCGGATATGCCTGGAAGCGAAAGGAAAGTGCAATGCTGTAAAGAAAAATATTGCATAGGAACCTGGAATGTAAGAACCATGAACCTTGGCAAGTTGGATGTGGTCAAAAATGAGATGGCAAAAATAAATATTGACATCCTGGGCATCAGTGAACTAAAATGGACGGGAATGGGCGAATTCAGTTCGGATGACCATCACATCTACTACTGTGGGCAAGAAACCCGTAAAAGAAATGGAGTGGCCCTCATAGTCAACAAAAGAGTGGCAAAAGCTGTACTGGGATGAAATCTCAAAAATGATAGAATGATCTCGATACGAATCCAAGGCAGACCTTTTAACATCACAGTAATCCAAGTTTATGCACCAACCACTGGTGCTGAAGAAACTGAAATTGACCAATTCTATGAAGACTTACAACACCTTATAGAAATGACACCACCAAAGAAGGATGTTCTTCTCATTATAGGGGATTGGAATGCTAAAGTAGGGAGTCAAGAGATAAAAGGAACAACTGGCAAGTTTGCCCTTGGAGTTCAAAATGAAGCAGGGCAAAGGCTAATAGAGTTCTGCCAAGAGAACAAGCTGGTCATCACAAACACTCTTTTCCAACAACACAAGAGACGACTCTACACATGGACATCACCAGATGGGCAGCATCAAAATCAGATTGATTATATTCTCTGCAGCCAAAGATGGAGAAGCTCTATACAGTCAGCAAAAACAAGACCTGGAGCTGACTGTGGCTCAGATCATCAGCTTCTTATAGCAAAATTCAAGCTTAAACTGAAGAAAGTAGGAAAAACCACTGGGCCGGTAAGATACAATCTAAGTCAAATCCCTTATGAATACACAGTGGAAGTGAGGAACAGGTTTAAGGATTTAGATTTGGTGGACAGAGTGCCTGAAGAACTATGGATGGAGGCTCGTAACATTATACAGGAGGCAGCAACTAAAACCATCCCAATGAAAAGGAAATGCAAGAAAGCAAAGTGGCTGTCCAATGAGGCCTTACAAATAGCGGGGGGAGAAGGCAAGCAAAATGCGAGGGAGATAGTGAAAGATACAGGAAATTGAATGCAGATTTCCAAAAAATAGCAAGGAGAGACAAGAAGGCCTTCTTAAACGAGCAATGCAAAGAAATAGAGGAAAACAATAGAACGGAATGAGACGGAAACATGGAAGGTGCCTAAAGAAGCCAGGGTGGCTATCTAAAGAACTTTTAACTGAGTTAGGATTAAAAAAGGATGTGTACAAAAAATGGAAAAGGGGGGAACCACCAAAGAGGAATTCAAACAAATAGCCAGCACGTGTAGACACAAAGTCAGAAAAGCTAAAGCACAGAATGAACTCAGGCTTGCTAGAGAGGTTAAAAGCAACAAAAAAGGCTTTTATGGGTATGTCCGTAGCAAAAGGAAGAACAAAGAAACAGTGGGGTCACTCAGAGGAGAAGATGGTGAAATGCAAACAGGGGACACAGAAAGGGCTGAACTCCTCAATGCCTTCTTTGCCTCAGTCTTCTCCGATAAAGAAAACATTGCCCGACCTGAAGAATTTGGAGCAAATGATTCAGCAGAGGAAACACAGCCCAGAATAACTAAGGAGATAGTACAAGAATACTTGGCTAGTTTAGATGTATTCAAGTCTCCAGGGCCAGATGAACTGCATCCAAGAGTATTAAAAGAACTGGCAGATGTGATCTCAGAACCACTGGCAGTCATCTTTGAGAATTCCTGGAGAACAGGCGAAGTCCCGGCAGACTGGAGGAGGGCAAATGTTGTCCCTATTTTCAAAAAGGGGAAAAGAGAGGACCCAAATAATTATCGCCCAGTCAGTCTGACATCAATACCAGGGAAGATTCTGGAGCAGAGCATTAAGCAAACAGTCTGTGAGCACCTAGAAAGGAATGCTGTGATCACCAATAGTCAGCATGGATTTCTGAAAAATAAGTCATGTCAGACTAACCTGATCTCGTTTTTGACAGAATTACAAGCCTGGTAGATGAAGGGAATGCAGTGGATGTAGCCTACCTTGATTTCAGCAAGGCATTTGACAAGGTGCCTCATGATATTCTTGTAAAGAAGCTGGTAAAATGCGGTCTTGACTATGCTACCACTCAGTGGATTTGTAACTGGCTGACTGACCGAACCCAAAGGGTGCTCATCAATGGTTCCTCTTCATCCTGGAGAAGAGTGACTAGTGGAGTGCCACAGGGTTCTGTCTTGGGCCCGGTCTTATTCAATATCTTTATCAACGACTTGGATGATGGACTCAAGGGCATCCTGATCAAATTTGCAGATGACACCAAACTGGGAGGGGTGGCTAACACCCCAGAGGACAGGATCACACTTCAAAACGACCTTGACAGATTAGAGAACTGGGCCAAAACAAACAAGATGAACTTTAACAGGGAGAAATGTAAAGTATTGCACTTGGGCAAAAAAATGAGAGGCACAAATACAAGATGGGTGACACCTGGCTTGAGAGCAGTACATGTGAAAAGGATCTAGGAGACTTGGTTGACCACAAACTTGACATGAGCCAACAGTGTGACGCGGCAGCTAAAAAGCCAATGCAACTCTGGGCTGCATCAATAGGAGTATAGCATCTAGATCAAGGGAAGTAATAGTGCCACTGTATTCTGCTCTGGTCAGACCTCACCTGGAGTACTGTGTCCAGTTCTGGGCACCACAGTTCAAGAAGGACACTGACAAACTGGAATGTGTCCAGAGGAGGGCAACCAAAATGGTCAAAGGCCTGGAAACGATGCCTTATGAGGAACGGCTAAGGGAGCTGGGCATGTTTAGCCTGGAGAAGAGGAGGTTAAGGGGTGATATGATAGCCATGTTCAAATATCTAAAAGGATGTCATATAGAGGAGGGAAAAAGGTTGTTTTCTGCTGCTCCAGAGAAGCGGACACGGAGCAATGGATCCAAACTACAAGAAAGAAGATTCCACCTAAACATTAGGAAGAACTTCCTGACAGTAAGAGCTGTTCGACAGTGGAATTTGCTGCCAAGGAGTGTGGTGGAGTCTCCTTCTTTGGAGGTCTTTAAGCAGAGGCTTGACAACCATATGTCAGGAGTGCTCTGATGGTGTTTCCTGCTTGGCAGGGGGTTGGACTCGATGGCCCTTGTGGTCTCTCCCAACTCTATGATTCTATGATTCTATGTGTTGGAAGCCACCCAGAGGAGCTGGGGCAACCCAGCCAGATGGGCAGGGGATAAATAAAAATTATTACTATTACTATCACTGCTACTACTACCTGAGATTCAATAAGCCTGGCTCTTCTCTGGGACGGATTTTGTTTGGCCCAGTCATGGCATCCCCTCCATCTCCAGTGTCAGTCATCTCTTTGGTCAACCCAAGACTGACAGCAGCAAAAACAAAAACAGAAAACCTGACAGAAACTACTTATCTTTCCTAACAACTCTTAAGTTGACATTTAAGATGCCTGGGCAGTTCTGACCAGCCGAATCGTAGTATAAAAAGGCAGAACTGGTGGAAGATTTTTGACAGAAAAAACTGTAATTTGCTGTTCAAGGTTTATTGTGGGGCATTAGGTTCCCAGGTGTTGTGGGGGGCGCCGTTGAGCTCTGTGAAAATAGATGAGGTTTGTCACATAGAGGTATTTTTTGAATTTCCTGGCAGATAGGACGATCCCACAGGGAGCCTTACCAAGAGAGGCCACGATCCCACAAATCTCCTCCATGACGTACTTATGCAGAGCTCTCTGGTCATGATCCAACAACGCCCACTCCTCGTCCGTGAAACGAACAGCGACATCTTCAAAGCACACTGGACCCTAAAAGAAAATGGAAATGTCCTCCTCTGAGACAGCAGAAATATGACCTGCTACACAATGCTCTGTTGTTTCCTTCCTGTT